CAGCTTCAGTGGGAATTCCTCAAAGGGGAAAGTTTATTCTCACATTCCAGGGTGCAATCTAGATCAGTGAGGGGTTGTGTCACTGCCTGCCCTGCAACCTTGGTTACCTCGCTATGCTTTGCTGTTGTAGCTCCCCACCTGGGCTACTCAAATGGTCCACCAGCATGGTCCACCCTGAGCGTCTGTATAGCTGTAGTCTTGGTCCAGTAGCTCTGATCCCAGCAGCCTGTCAGCAACACTCCAGTCACACCTTGGCTTTCACCAGCTTTGGTTACTACTTGCAGGGTGACCCCAACACACTCCCAGTTCCGAATTTTCCCAAAACATGTGTTCTGCACTGTCCAGCCCTCTTCTGGGAAGAGTCCCTAAAGGAAACATGCCGGTGGCAGAAAAGGAAAACAATGCTGCCTCCTCCTCGGACTCTGAGTTTGAATACTTTCTTTTCATTTTCCTCAGAGCAGGATTACACAGAGATCCGGAAAACTGTTTTTTGGTCACAGAGTTGACTAATGGCACTAAAGGAGTCTTCGATGCAGATACAGGCTTTAGTGCCAGTGCAGACTGCCCAGGTGAAGTCTACAGCTCCAGACAGTACAGGATAGGAAGCTTGGCCACTGTAGGGACTGGCCGTGGGGAGCTAGACCTCAGGCTCGACAACAAGGGAGACAAGTCAGGAGCAGCTTGATGTGTCTCCCGTGTCTTTACAGAAGACCTGGGCAAAGAACCAGAACTCAAACCTCCCATAGGAGTAGCAGGATGGTCCAACTGGAAGCTTACCAAAGTAAAATGAACTTGCACCCTGAGATGCCTCTCATTCCTCAGTCAAGGAATAAAAGCATGGCAAAATTGTGCACTGAGATACTATGTGCAATTCTCCCAGGCACAGAAGACACCAAACACATCTCTGGCTCAGAGAAGATAGCTGAGTGGGTTGCATCTCTTTTGAACCCTCTATGGGGTTCAGGACCTGCCATGATTTTGGGGATAACCCAAGGCTAATTGTCCCAAGTAACCTAACACTAACAACAGCTTGTTTTCTTTGAATAGTTCCTAACTAGTCTCATGAACAGAAAAGGTATTTCCATTAGCTCTCGTGGCAGCAAAGAAGGAACTGAGGCGTGGGGGGGGGGGAATGCACTCCCATATACAGATGGAGCTGATGACATCATCCTAGCACAAGAGTGCTCCTGCCCTTTGCACTCAGCAGAAACTGCTTTTCTATACAGCTGCACAGCACAACATCAGAGGCACCATATCCCATGAGTGTGAATGCACAGAGGCCTTCAAAGAATAAGCCATTTTATGGAGCCAAAGTACTGAAGCCACATGAATATTGCTTGTTGAAACATGATGAATCTGCTATTGAACACATAAATGCCAAACATATAGATCTGGTATTTTGACAACTGTGCCTCTGAAGATCCAGATGTTCAAAACTGTCAAGCCTAAGGAGAACTTTTTTGGACATAAACAGCAATATTGCCTTCCACTGCTGCAAGCTCCATCAAGCATTTTCTAGCCTTTGCAAAGCCCCAAACTAGAGATTTTCTGTGTCTCAAGGAGAGGCTCAGAGTTTTCAGCTGCAATGGTGATTACAATTGTATTTCCATGATAGACTTATTCATAAATTATCCTTAAGAATGCTTATAACTTGAACTACATCACTCCTTCATTCAGTTTTTTGCAATACGATTCAAACTGGTGACAGGCAAAATATAATTTTTGATCTTTTTTTTATGCTTTGGCCTGACTAGTAACTCAGTTTATACTGAAAATATTCCAAAATAGCTCACTGTTGCATCAAAGGCAACACCAACTGAAGAGGTCTTCTGGGACTTAAATAATAAGATCTGAAAAGATCTTTCAAAATACATTTCAACTGTTTAGATAATCTCTTGAGATCCTGAATATCAAGTTTCAAATTTATCGTTGATGCAGTGCACAACCATGAATAGTTTGTTTAAAGTTGGCCTCCATACCACTTAAACAGTTCATATTCACCGCTACACAATCTGAATTCAGAGCAACTAGTTTTGACTTGAGTTATTCAATCTTGTTACCTGCAACTCCTAAAGCAGTTTTCTGTGCAATATGATCAGCTGTAGCAGAATTTGATGTGTACCAATTCTTGTTCAGCTACAGACTTGTCACTGGATCAGCCATCAAAATTCCAATGATAGTTTGATGTATTCCAGTCATTTTTCAATTTTTTTTTTTTTTATAAAGTCAGCTGTAACAAAATACTAGAGAAAGCCCAAAATCAAATCAAACTGTTTCACAGCAGACAATCAAACTGTAGCCAATTTTACCCACTCAGCCTTGGTTGGCAACTGAAACTATCACTTGTGTTCTGGCAAAGACAACTGCCTTTGAACTATCTAACCGTGGTCTATAGTTTAGAAGGTTCTATTGCTCTGCTCTATCTTCTCTCTTCCTTACCATTAAGCCATCTCAGCCCCCTGAACCCTCCAGCTACTCGCCCCATCTGACTGGCAGATCTATGTTGCTGCACCTTAGAACGGAGGAAACTGGACACTTTTTCATGAGGAGGTAGAAAGTAGTTCCTACTTGTCCTGGACTTCTGAACAACAGGACTTTTCCCAGCCTGGGTAGTGTCCACATCTTATACAACACAGAGCCCATGCCCAAAGGCTCACTGTCATAGGTTCATGTTTTCTCAAAGACATCCTTCAAGAACTTCATGGTAACTACAATAAATTTTGCATGCTAAATTTGATCAAATTTGAGGGATCAGGAGGTAAAGCTTTCAACAGCAGACTCTGGGTACACCTTTTCATCATCACATTCCTCATGGAACCAGAATGGAGGAAAATCTGATAACACGCTCAAAAGTAGCAACACATAATAAACACAAACAAGGATAGAGATATTACAGCCCAATAGGCATCTCTCAATGTTTTTAATCCAACACTGAGGACTGATTCCTGCTCACTGAAATCCATGGGAGTCTTTCCATCATCTTTAGTGGGAGCTGGATGGGGCTCTTATATAATGATACGCAATTTATAGATTAGATAGTCAATGAAAACAAACTCTTCTTCAGTACATCATATACAGTTTGATTTGAAATGCCTGTTTTAAAAAATACCTACCAAACCATAAGGTACAGATACACCTCTACCCCGATATAACACAAATTCGGATACAACACGGTAAAGCAGTGCTCGGGGGGGGGGGGGGGGCAGGGCTGCGCACTCCGGTGGATCAAAGCAAGTTCGCTATAATGTGGTTTCACCTATAACGCGGTAAGATTTTTGGCTCCCGAGGACAGCATTATATCGAGGTAGAGGTGTACTGTCAAAAACGCAGCCATGTAAAATTGACACCTCCTTTGTCAGCAGATCTTAAGATGTACCTGGATATTTTAGTGACAAAAATATTTACTTCTTTAAACTCCTGTTAACACTGTAGAGTCTATATAACAATGATCAAGTTTGCTGGATTCTATTCTAGCTCCTCTCTAAAAAGAGCTATTAAACAAGTTCCAATAACAGGGAAAGTTTCACATTCAATTACATCTGTAACCCCATTGAGGATAATGCACAGGATAACTGAGGGCACAATTTGGACTGCTGAACCTTATTGGTGGCAACACACAAGCCAGAAAGAACAAAGCTTGATTTTCAGACAGCAGGCAGAGTCTGCAGGGCTAGCACAAACTTTATTTAAAACTACTTAAACAGAGAAAATTCTATACTGAATTACATTTAAGGCACTGAAATGAAGCCCTACTTATTTTCCAGTCACTTTTCAGTTGCCCTGAAACTCAAAATAAACTTCTCCTTAGTCTACTTTTTAAAAATGATTCACAAATATCAAGAAAAATATACCAACTCTGGGCGTTACGTGCTAAGTGAACTGAAAAGTAAATGAAGCATTCAGTGTATTACTCACTTCAATTTTGGGGGTGGAGGGTCATGGCAGAAGAAAGTCTCACCTACCTAGATACACAGATTGCTAACTCTTTTTGCTTCATGTCAACAGCCCAGAGTACATTCTGCTGGAAATATCACATCTACCAAGAAAAGCCACTAGGACCAGCCCAGCACGATAGGAGTATATAGGGATATTTTAAAAAATAAATAATTAAATCAAAGACAAGCCCTGGTTTTGTTTTCCAGGATATAAAAATAGGGGGGGGAGGAAAACTATGAATCCATACATTACAATTAATGCTCAACACCTACACTCACCAGTCTAGCTTTATAGTCCTGTTGACAAGCAGAGTACAAATGGAAGGGTTACAGAGAGAATCTACCTCAGAGAATCAGGGGGGAAAATAAGGGAATCAAATTTCCTGATAAGTTATAAGCTGTGTGTTTCTCTTGCCTTTGCTAGTTGAAGCATTCAGCACATAACATTGCATCAGTTTTGGGAGTTTAATATCTGAGATCATGTGTCACACAGAAATAGAATTCTACAGCCTATTAGAGTACAAAAATGTTTAGATCACTGCAGTAGTGAAGACTTAGACAATGCAGCGATTACCTAACTGAATTACCTAGTCAGGAAGAACACTATCTCAGGCCTTGGCTGTAACTTGGACAAATCCCCTGTAGATATTGACAGCCAACCACTACTGTAGCCATGCTGAGTGGCAAGCGCTTAGCCTAGACAGGCAAAGACAATTTAAACAGCGATTTGCACTAATCCATTTTCTCCAACTGATAAAATGAACTGGTGCAAATCATGGCTTACAGCACCTTTGCCTGTCTATGCTAGATGTCTGTACCAGTGCAGCTACACTAATGACTGGCCACCTATGGAATGCCAGCTGAACCACCAATGAACTTCACACAATTGTAGCCATAGTAGATCTGCAGAACTGGTTAACTAGAGTATAAAAATGAGCTATAAGAAAAGCTTTATAAAAAACTGTGCTAAGGAAGCAGTTGTCAAGGTCTTCTATTGCCCGTAACAAATTTAAGTATATCCAAGGCCAAACCTGAAAGTATCTTTCTGACAAAGTATTTTCTTACCTTTTCCGGGACTAAGGTTTTGGTCTATAAAAACCTTAAGCTCTCCATTGGCTTCAATTAGTCCAGCCTAGTAAAGAAAATAAAAAAAATTACATTTACAATATATGTAGAAAGCTATAAGTTCTTTACTATTAATTTTAAAAGGTCTTATGTAATTTGTTAAGACTTCCCCAACCCAGGTTTCCAAATTAAAACTGCAACTAAATAACTATTGTATCTCCACCACAAAATGGCTAAGTATGTAGTAAATAAAATTTTGTGGAAAATGTCTGTTTAAAATACTTAAATAGCCTACTAACAACTACACCGGTGACATAATCCACAGAAAAAAAATCACGAAGACCATCCCACAAAAAAACAAAGCAGGGAGACAGAAAAACAACAAATTTCTACATCATTATCCAGAATATGCTTATAAAATTGTCAGTAAACTTATAATAAGCCTTGAGTTAAGAATAAATATCATAAGTATACATATATGTGCTTCCTCTTAATGATCAATAAAACTCAATTTCCTGAACTTATTAACTGCTAAACAGGTTAGTAGCCTGGCCCCACCTGGCAACAGTTGGTAGAAAAGGACAAAAACAACGAGGAGTCTGCTGGCACCTTAAAGACAGATTTATTTGGGCATAAGCTTTCATGGGTAAAAAACCCCACTTCAGATGCATGGAGTGAAAATTACAGATACAGACAAATATATATTGGCACATGAAGAGAAGGGAATTACCTTACAAGTGGAGAACCAATGTAGAAGGCCAATTCAGTCAAGGGGGATGTGGTCCACTCCCAATAATTCATGAGGAGGTGTCAATACCAAGAGAGGGGAAATTGCTTTTGTAGTGAGCCAGCCACTCCCAGTCCCTATTCAAGCCCAAATTGATGGTGTTAAGTTTGCAAATGAATTGTAGCTCTGCAGTTTCTCTTTGAAGTCTGTTTTTGAAGTTTTTTTTTGTTGAAGAATGGCAACTGGGAGCTGAGGAGGGGGGAGGGAGGAGGAGAAGAGCAGCGCCAGGGAGCTGCCGGGGGAGGCGGCACCCATGACATCTAGGAGCTGGGGGGGCCCACTTGGCACCTGCGGCAGCGAGGATTTGCTGGGAGCACCCCCTGTGGGGGCTCAGCGCTCTAGTCACTGCAATGACTAGGAGCTCCAGGGTCCGCTGGTGCACGCAGCAGCTGTGAGCGAGCTGCCGGGGACCCCACCTCCTGAGGCAGCTGGGAACTCCAGGGCCCCTGCCGGTTGAAAGCTCCAGCCCCGCCACCCTGGGGTGGAAGTGGAAAATGTCATGGAAGTCACAGATTCCATGATGTAAACTTAGCCTTACTGAATAGTTTCGAACCCAGGACTCACCCCCTAGAGGACCACATTAGACACACCTTGCCAATTTGACACAAACCATTGGTAACTACTTTTTGAATATGGTCTTTCAACCAGTTGTGCATCCACCTTACAGTAATTTAATCTAGACCACATTTCGCTAGTTAGCTTATAAGACTGTCAGGGAGATCTATATCAAGAGCTTTACTAAAATCAAGCTATGTCATGTCTACTGCTTCCCCTCCTCCACTAGATCAATAATCCTATCAAAGAAGGAAATCAAGTTGGTTTGGGGTGATTTGTTCTTGACAAAAATCAACACTGACTATCCCTTATAATCCTATTTACTCCTGGGGGAATTCTGCACCACTGCATGAATGAATAATCAATGAGCCGTGCATATTTTTAGTTTTTCACGCAGAAAAAAAGCTTCTGCTGAAAAGTTGCTGCAGTTCCACCTTTCCCCCCCCCCAACAGAGGGCACTGTGGTGATAGAACACAGCAGCAACTCCCAGACAGCTAGGGAAGAGAGAAAACCTGCAGAGCCTTCTTCTCAGCAGACCTTTAAGTCTTCAGCTGAATGGAGTGTTTCATCCTTTCTACTGCTAAAAACCTCCATCCCTTCAAAGGCTAGGTCCTCTACAGTAATTCGGTATGCCAGATGCTGGCAGCTACGAGGCCAGTCTCATCTTGACAGAGATGGCTAACTGATGTCATGGCCATGTTGGACACAGCCACGGCCATCTATAACACAGTTCTCTCACCTCCATCTGGCCCTCTTATGTCCTGTAGCTTGTATCTTCAACAGGAAGGTAGTGTCTTTGGAGGAACTTCATAACTCTTCCTCCCACATCCAACCAGTAGAAAAAAGAGTGGCAGTGTCTACCAAAGTCCCTTTGCCAGCTCCTGATACCATTGTTGATAGGGAGGGTGCTCCTGTCAGGGGTTGTAGAGCTCAGTATGCCGTAGAACTTTTGGACTTTTCCTGGAACACTGTGCTTTCATCATCCAGTGTCTTTGATCTGCGACATGAGATCTTAGAATGCCCTGATGTCATCAACTGCCCTTGTAAGGGATGGTGTGTCTACCTCATCTGGCCAGGACGTGGACTTTAGACTGAGTCACAGGTTGCTACTAACTCCTCATTGTTACAGCAGAATTGAGGCTACTAGCCCCTGATGGCAGAAAGTTTGTATTAGGAAGGGAAAGATGCAAGCTGGATGCACACCATGCTCTGACCAAAAGGGCTTGAAGTCTCCGTTCACAAGTCCAAATAGTGGACTGAGAAGACCAGTAGGGTGGCTTGGTAACAGCACACAAAATACTGTATCATCTCTTCTCCTGCACAGCCTCTGCCAGCAACAAGGTAGATAAAAATCATTTTAAAAAAATGATTTTTTTTTATTTAAATCTGATTGTTTTGATAAAATGCTTCTTGAGGAAAAAACCTATCTAAAGATAGTTGTCATTAAGCTACATCTTTGAGCTATAAAGTCTTATCATGGAATAGGGATTATAAATTCTAATTCTATAGTATGAGACAATATATTCATGGAATGTGTAAGAAAATTTTGTAGATGAGTACCAATAGTTTATGGATTAGGGGACCTAATCTTATGGGGTTCCAGAGGCTTCTGTATAGATTATTTAGGTTAAACTTTCTATCTACCGAATAAGACTCAGTGGTCAGTCTAGAAGATACCAACAGAGATGCTTAGTTTTGCAGTTCTCAAACTCTGGATTTGTGTCTCTAGAGATAACGTGCTTGTTAACAGCAAAAATGTTTAGTTAGTTATTTAACTAGCTAACTAACTTAACTCAACCCTCTTGCCCCTCTGCAAATTTGTGTACACCGAGTCAATCCCTTACCTCTCTCTAAAAGTGCAGTTTCAAAAAGTTAAATTAATAGAAGATTGTTGTGGGCACAATAGATCTGGACAAGGAGAAGAAGTCTGGAGATAAATGCGAGAAGGGAGGGACAGGCAACAGAAACAAAAGTGAAACTGTTTGAGCAGCATATTTCAGAAGTCTTGAGGTCTTTCTGAGTGTAGCTTTCATTGATTTGAGATCTACCATGCCATTCTCTCACTAGAAGGGAAAACCTGTATTGGCAGCAGGCCGTAAAGAGAGACCCAGTTTGGGAATATTTTAATGAAGTTCCTCTACCTGTGGGTAAGACAGGCATGCATGAAAAATGCAAACAGTGCAACAAAGAAATGCAAGGCCTGGTTGCCCAAATGAAACAACATCATGAGAAGTGTTCCTTCTCAGGAGGAAGCTGCGTTGATGATGATGAAAGGAACGTGTCTGAACATGCAGGACCTTCAGGTTGGTAAACATTTTTATTTCATACTTCTTTCTTAAGGACTGCCTGTCTTCCTTCTGGACCATTCTTGAATTCTCATGTTTGAGATAAAAATATAGTCGTTACTCTATGGTACTATCATTTTAGATGCAGTTGTGATAGCAGATCTTCCTTTTACAATTTCACCTTTAAAGTAGTACTGAGTGTCAGTGAATGCAACAAGTAATACTAAAGGAGCAGTATGGTAATAATAATTAAACAACTGCATTGACTTATTTTGTTTAGGAGAATCCATCCTCAACATACAGGATTCTGAAGACTATCCACCTTCAAGATCACCATCATTTTCTATAGTTTCAGAGTTATCTGCCAAAGATAGTGTTTCAGTCATATCATGTATGTCACATAGCCACAGTATCTCACCAGTAGCAAAAAGAAAAAAAATCTCCATCATCCGGAAACCACCACAGGTAAGTTTGTAATCTGCTGTTTCTTATCACAAAGAAGCCACTGATGAAAAAATTGCCCCGTTTCTTCATGCAACAAACTCTCCTTTCCGTATGATTGGGAACCCACACTTCATTAACATGGTTCAGTCATTAAGACCAGGATACAGTCCACCCAACAGAGCAGATATCGCAAACAAATTGCTGGATAAAGTATCAGGGGGTAGCCGTATTAGTCTGCATCTACAAAAACAACAAGGAGTCGGGTGGCACCTTAAAGACTAACAGATTTATTTGGGATGCATCCGAAGAAGTGAGGTTTTTACCCACGAAAGCTTATGCCCAAATAAATCTGTTAGTCTTTAAAGGTGCCACCGGACTCCTTGTTGTTTTTGCTGGATAAAGTGTATGAAAGAGAAATTGAGCAGTGTGCAAAAGGTCTAGAGGGTAAAATTGTTAACCTGAGTCTTGATGGGTGGAGCAATATCCACAGTGATCCTGTTGTATGTGCTTGTATGACAGCAGAAGAAAGGAATGTCTTCCTTACAGAAACAATTGATACATCAGGAAATGCACACAAAGCAGAATACTTACAAGTAGCAGCAGTAAAAGCTATAACAAACTGTGGGGAAAAAATTCAAATATCTAGTACGCAGCTTGGTCACTGACAATGCTGCAAATGTATCCAAGTTGAGAATAAATTTAGAAGAGTCCCAAGCTAATAACATACAGTTGCAGTGCTCATTTGATGCACCTCCTAGCCAAAGACTTCAGTGTCCCACAAATAAAGGCTAATGTTGTTGAAATTGAAAAGTACTTCCATAACAACCACTTTGCAGCAGCTGTTCTGAAAAAAGTGAGAGGAACCAAGCTAACTCTTCCACAAGATGTGTGATCGAATTCAGTAATGGACTGTTTTGAGCACTATATTAAGAACTTGCCTAATTCGATGACCGTCTGCGAACAAAAGAGTGAAAAAATAGATTACACTATCACAG